GAATGCCATAGGATACAGGGAAGGGTGTGACAAGTTGTAGGGCTAAAAGGACATGCTGGCCTATTGCCTGAAACACAGAGGGGACTGTATTCAGCCATAATGAAAATGCTTTTCCTAAACTGTTCCAAGCTCAGCTTTAAACTGATTAGAACCTTTTCTTCAGTGGGAAGCATTTTGGGGCTGTTGACTGAATGAATGTAGTTGCTGCACACAGGGAACAACTGATCTTCATTGTGCCTGTTTTTTTTCCTTGAACTGCAGGTGGGTATAGTGGGTATAGCTTCTGTTTCTGACCTGCATCCCATTTCCTAAGCCAGATTTGTGCCCTTTATTTCTGTGTGTGTATACTGGATTTACACCTGTCTCCTTCGTGCTAGTAAAAGATGCCCATACCAGGAAAAATAAAGTATATTAATCTTTAATAATCTAAGAACTTCAGCAAAAACCTTGTTCCTAGCTTGGCTTGTAGAATGTGTATATTTTGTTTTTGTTTGGATTTTTCCTCCCCTGGCATCTTGCAGTTTGTGAACCCGTACCTAATGAACAGATAGTAGGCTTGTCTTGCTGTCTGCCTTTTGTGGAATCTTAGAACTCCACAGAGTGAAAGACATCTGTAGCTGACAGGCTGAAAATTGCTCCACAAGGTTTCACTGTTCCTGCAAGTTTGAGGAGGTTTTCAACTGGGTTTGATCCAAAGCTATATGCAAGATGCTATCTAGGGCACTGTGTCAGTTAGAGGTGGTGGGAGCAATAGCAATCTATCTGCCTCGGGGGGTGGAATGTGTCTGGAGTGGAGGAAGGTCTTGAAATTAAACATAATTAAAGGTGTCTTTGGGTTTCTGTCTGTGATTGTTATGGTACTATTCCTGTGGTTCTGTAGAAACTCAGCTGATTTTTGGGGGCCTCCTTTAACAGTGCTGAGTCAAAATACTTATTTAATTTCCACCAGAGCTACAGTAATTATTTTTTAGTTACTATTAGTTGCCATGATACCTTATAGTTAATGCCATTTCTTACAAAAATCCTCCTGGTCTTAAGTTCTCTGTAGATGGTCTACAGGTCTCCTAAGGACCGAGGTGTGGATTGCCCTGCTACAGCTGCCTTGGTACAGCTTGCAGGAGATGAAACTTGCTGTGAACTTTGCTCATACAGAAGTGTGTAATGATCTGGATGTTTAGTAGGCTGGACAAGAAGTTATCCTGAGGCAACACCTCATTTGTAAACTTGAAGGTATTGAGAAAGGAGTAAATCTTGGTGGAGTATTGGAGAGCCCATGGAATAAGGCCACACCTTTGTGTGGTGTTTCAAGTTGGGGTTGCAGCAGAAGCATACTGTCTTTGCTCATCTACAGGGCTATGAGTGTGTAAGATAATTAGTGAAATAATATATTTTTCTATATCTTTCTTTAAAGACAGCGATAAAGAAAAACAACCCACGGAAATACCTACGCAGTGTTGGTGATGGAGAGACTGTAGAATTTGATGTGGTTGAGGGAGAGAAGGTAAGAGATTGTCAAGACTTAGGGGTGTTTTCCAACAGTGTTAACATCACTCTACCTACCTCTGTGGCTTAGAACTGATGTAGGTGGGGGGAAAAAGCCTCTTTTCTGTTCTCCCTGTAGCTGGTGGGGTTTTTTTTTGTTCACGTCATCCTGACTTTTGGCCTTCTAGGGTGCAGAAGCAGCTAATGTCACTGGTCCCGACGGAGTCCCGGTGGAAGGCAGCCGCTATGCTGCAGACCGGCGCCGCTATCGACGTGGCTACTTCGGCCGACGCCGTGGGCCTCCTCGAAGTGTAAGTTTAATTTCTTTAGTGGTGGTCATCCTAATGTATCAGCAGTCTTCCTATCCTCTCATCAGAGGGACATACAGGTTCAACACTGGCATTTAGTAAACTGTCAGTGATTAAGTTCTTCAGTAATTTTCTGGGTTCTTTCAGCACATAATTGATGTTGATACTGATATTTGCTTTGATGTCCTGTGTGCCCTTCTTGGCCTGTCTTTCCTAGGATGTCCTAGAAGCATATTTTTGGGTGTAAAAGTTATCTGTTTGAAGAGTAAACACAAATGAGTGAGACACCTGGAATGGTTCACCATGCCCTTTACCTGAGGAAAAGGGAAGTATTTATATTGCCTCAGGTAATATAACCAGAATTGAGAAGGGTTACTTGGAAAAGCACATTTTTTTTAGAAGCTTGTCCTCCCTGTATCATCCCTTCGTAGGCCTCTGCCTGTAGCAATTCAGGATAAAGATAATGTGTGTTTTTCTTTGAACTAATCATGTCCCACTGTTCATAACATCTGCAAGCTTTAGTAGAGAGAGAAGTGAGTATGAGGTACATGATTGTAGTTTTAGCAGTTACCACTCCTATCCATATCATGCTTGTGCTAAATTGGATGCCTGGAACAATAAAAAAAATGGAACATGCTCCAGGCTTGATTATTTTTTTCTTTAACAGTTGAGTCTGTGATCATCACATGCAGAAATGTGTGAATTATCCAGTATGAGAGCCCTGGTGGAAGTCTCTGCCCAAGCAACATAACTGTATTGTCTTCTTGTCCTACAGAGTTGACAAAGTGTTGTCAAATCCTTCCTTAAAGCCTAGCTGTTTACACTAGCTATCATGAGGTCTTTCATTTAATCCTGCTGGGCACCAATGAGCCTTGAATAAGTGAAAGGTGTTTGTTCTTAGTCCCTTGGAGACAGCTAGAAATTGGCACTGGTAACTGATGGCTTATTATTGTCTCTTGTTTTTGTGGTGCTACTGTTTGCAGCTTCAGCTTTCACATCAGGTGGCAAAGAACTAGGATGCTTGGTTTAGTTCAACTTTTTGATCTTTCCAATCTTACCTGTTAGCTTATCCACCAGCTACATCCTAGTATTGATTCTGTTTCCTTTTGCTCTCCTGAGATTAAAATCTCCCTCAACTGTCTTTACTGGGAGTGAATGCTTTACCTGGTGTTATTGGTGTTTAAATGAGCAAACATAAGCAGGGCTTAGACAACCACGTGTACTGCTGAATATAGAAAGCAGCCATTTCTTTCTGCCTGAAGAGTGATAATGTGAGACTTGGCTTGGACATGAGGAACATTCAATCTTGGGGTACTCATGCTGGGACATGTTTTCTTGGCTGTTTAATGAGTACTCATGCAGCTAAAAATCTGGCTTGCATGTGACACTGTAACACACTTGGATCTTGGTACTTGAAGATGTACACCAAGGGAAAAAATGTGATACCACACTGTTTGCCTTTGGCTTACTTAGATCTGAGTCCCCAGACTGATTTGGTGTGGGTACCAGACCTTAACTGTTATGTGACTGGTGTCTGACTTCCTATGAAGTCATCTCTCATTTAGTAACCTAAAACATACTGCTCTTTCTCTGGGATCATTGAGAAGAATTAGAGCCTTGAAAACTTGCATATGATAATTTATAAAAGGACATTAACCTGGGTGTTCATAGCTTCCCATTGTTCATGAGGGTTGTTGGTCCTTCTCTGTAGCTTGTTGAGTTTGAATGTCAAGCCTTCCCATCAATGCATTGACTGCATCTCTGGATTTTATATCATCTGTTAAAATGAAGAGCAAATTCTGTTTCATTCAAGGATGTTGAAGACCTTGTAGTACCATTCCCTTAGCGTGCCACTCCAATAGGTAAAATCAATAATTGCTTTGATCTTCCAAAGATGATACTGGCTAGGCAGAGACACTGGCCACCTCCTTCAGTGCTCTTGGATGTATCTTTTGTAGTCTTAGAGACTTGTATGTGTAAGACTTGTCTAAGACATTTCCCTTTCATGCTTGAGTGCAGCCACAAGTTCCTTGTGCAGCCAAAGTTGATGGTCTGCTGTGCCTGCTCAGCTTACTGCTTGTTGCTGTGGTCTTTTTTTATGTTCTACACTAGTTTCAGGTGCAACCAGTTGTGCTGGATGTTCTTACCTGCTTGCCTGTTAGTTACTTGAACAAGTAAAAGCTTGGAAGGCTTTAAGGACTTTAAGGAAGGCTTTGCAGAGACTGTCCCTGGAGTTGTCCTAGTGTGTATGTCAGTGAAACCACTCAAACTTGTCCAGGTATTTTGTCATCCCCTGTGTGCTCGCTTTGATAGATCAATTGAGAGTGGAGGGAATCATCATCTGAAGCTACCAATATTTTCTGTTGGAAATCTTTCATTCACATCAGTTAATACATTCTTCAAATGGAAACTGCATGTCTGCTGTATCTAGGAAGATGCTTCTTTCCTTTACCTTCAACAACGCCTACCAAGCTGCTGAATGGTCTGGAGAATAAGTACTATTAGGAGAGGCTGAGGGAACTGGGATTGTTTAGTTTGAAGAAGAGGAGGCTGAGGGGAGACCTGATTGCTACCTGAAAGGAGGTTGTAGGGAGGTGGGAGTTGGTCTCTTCTCTCAAGTGAATAATGACAGGATGAGAGGAAATGGTTTGCTGCACCAGAGGAGGTTTAGACTAGATATTGGAAAGAATTTCTTTACCAAAAGAGTGGTTGGACAGTGGAACAGGCTGCTCAGGGAGGTGGTAGAGTCACTATCCCTGGAAGTATTTAAAAGACGTGTAGATATAGTGCTTAGCAACATGATTTAAGCACTGAACAGGTAGATTAGGTTATGGTAGGGGGATTTAGGTTATGGTGGGACTTGATGATCTTCAAGGTCACTTCCAACCAGGATGATTCTGTTAAGGCCTCCTCTTTCCCCTTCCATTCCCATGTTTGTAAAGCAGCAAGAAAGGCAGCAATGCCTGTGAGCCATAGCAGTATGTATATGCTATTCTGTGTGGCCCCATCAACAGGTGCATTAAAGATTGTGCCTCTCTATTTGAGGAAGTGTTTCTGGCTAACTGTCTTGCAAGATATTCCTGAGACAAGTTTTAGCTACTGGTGGTATGGCACTCTTGGGCTGCATTTGCTGAAAGGGTGTTTTCTCAGGTGCAGGTAGCTGTTGCTGCACACCTGAAGGAAAAGGTTTGAGTGTACCCTGCTATGCTTGAAGATCTACTAGGCTGCAGAGGTGAATGGTTTTCCCAGAGGTTAGCTGCCCTTATCATCAACTCTATATTTACTGGGGCTTGTGAAATATTTTTTTTAAAAGATTTAATTTGTTGAGGTGACTTTTGACTTGATGGCCTTCTAGGTTTCAAGAACTTTTAATTGATATCAATTAGCAATTCCAGTCTAGCCTTACAGCAGAGCAAGAGTTGATTTCTGTTTCCTCACTGGCATGGTTTTAGGCAAACTAAAGATGTTGTCCTTTGTTTGCCTTGCTAGTTCAAACATGCCTGTACTCTGTGCCTAATGTACTGGGTCTGTTTTTGAAGACATAGTGTGAGTTTTTCAAGGGTGAAGATAACTTTGAGGAATCTAAGGTATTCAACCAGTCCAGTGGAACTGTTTCTGGATTGTATGGAGAGTTCTGTGGAAAGCAGAAGTACTCATTCATAGCAGAAATTTCTTAATTGCATCCACTGCAGAGAAGAGGCTGTGTTCTTACTGGATTGTGGCAAAAATGGACATGGTGTGGAACTGTAGTCAGAACTTTAGAACAGACAATGAATTATGGAATAACTTTGAGAACAAATTATGTCCTTCTGTACATATTGTGTGCATTGCTAGTAGAAGAAGCCTCTGTATCAGTGAAATTGAAAATAAGTGAAATGGCTTGAAGCTGTTTTGTAGACTGATACTACTTGTTGAGACGACACCTGAAAAGATTCAAAAGCTAAAGACTCATCTGAAGAGATGTAAGTACAAATGAAGACGAAATTAGGGGAAGCAGATGGGTAAAAAGCTCATTGCAGTGACAGTTAAGGCTGACAAAGCTTTTATTTGAGGAACAGCATTAGGATTTTACATATTTTTAGGATGAAGAGAAATCTGTGCAGTATCTTCATGGGGGATCACAGCCTGCCTACTTATGGTTTTCTTTAGAGGAAAGTGTAGAGCAAGGTAGCTTCATTCCTTAGTCCTCCAGGATGACCTAATATTTTATTAGAAGGTATTACACTGAGTTGAAAGGATCCTGTGGCAGATGCAAGTGTACAGGTTCATGTGTGTGTACTAGACATGGTGTGGTGCTTTTAAGAGCACAAATAAAGCTTTTCTAATTAGATTAATCTAATATTCTTATCTGTATACTAAAACAAGATCTTAAAGCTCAGGTTCTTTTTTCTGGTCAAATTGCATCTGTTCAGTGACTTCTGACAGCATCATTGTTTTATTCTGGAGCCATAATTCTCTTCTGGTCAATGGACAGTGATACTACTGTAATGATACTACTGAATTTTTGTGATCTTGTAGAAGATGCAGGAAATTATCAGGGCTTCTGGGCTAAGCAATTCGGTTGTTTTACTACCTTGTTTTCAACTGATTGTTTAAGCCAAACCCATATAAAATACTGACACAGCAACATTTGGTTTGAGATGAACAGGAAAACGTTTGCATTGCTTTAGAGAAATGCTTCATCAAGTTTAGTCTTTCTTTCTGTCACTACAAGAGATGGAGTCTTTTATCTAAAATTCCAATGCAGCACTTGTTAGGGAGGAGTGGGCTTGGGCTGTGCCATTAAAAGCATGTAGAAATTTAATACCTTTTAAAGAGCTGTGAAAGTGATGCTGATTCTCAAGGAAAGGAAAGCTTTGGCTGACCTAAAAATACTGTTGTGTACCCCTCTCTACAATTAGGTTGGTGAATGCTGTGTTAGGTTCTGGCACATTGTCCCTCAGATGAGACCTACTAGGCCTTCGTGGTTCTGTATTTCTGGCATTGCAGTACTAGAACTGAACACTGATTCAATGTGTGCTTGCTCAGAAGTCCCAGGGAAGAGAAATTATTATTATTCTGGAACATGTTCAGGCTTGTTTTACTTCTGCATTCTCTCTTCCCTTTACATATTGCTTCTCTCTACTGTTTCTGTGCTTTGCCAGTCCTCGTGTGAGGAAGAGTGAGAGCAGAAGCAGTACTGGGTCCTTGCTCCACACAAAGCAAATCCCAAAACATCTGAGTCACTTCAGCCACACAATACTGGCAGTGCTATTTCTTGCCCTACTACTCTGAGACACTTTAGTTATCACAGTTTTTTTAAGCTGTGAAGTTACGTAGTACAAAGCGTCTTGATACAAACAGAAAAGGTAAGTATTGCAAAGTAGATTTTAGTAGTATACTGCTGTCCCAAACTTGGAAGTGTAATTTTTTTATTGTGGATTTTAAAATTGAATTCTGGTGTCTCTCTACTCGCCTCAGCAGCTGATCCTGTCATATTGTTAAGGATAGCTGGTATAGCTATTTCCATGTGCCGCATGTGAAATACTCCACTTGCCTTTAGGCCATGTTCCTGTGCTTTCTGGAAACCTGGAAAAGCTACAAAGAATGCTTGGAATTATTAATGCGTTTGGAGAGTATTTTATTGTGGTAAGAGGAGAAGATTGTCCAGTTTTGTCACTGAGGTTAATTAAATTCTCTAAGATTTCTTGTTTCAACCTACAGTGCTCCAGCCTTTCCAAGTGTTAATCCTCATTTTATTTTAGCTAAAGAAATTTCGCTGCCCAGGCAGTTACCTGAGATTACCAGTTAAATACAGCAAAATGGGATGGTGATAGTTAAATTTTAGGAAAACAAACTTCCAGCTCAGGTGCATAGAGCTCAAGAGGTCTCAATCCCCAGGTGCAAGAAATCAAGTAAGGAAGGGAAGAGGACCAGCATGGCTGAGTTGAGACCTGCTGGTCAAACTAAAAGGCAAGATGGAGCTACATAGGCAGTAGAAGTGGGGACAGGTATCTTGGGAAGAGTATAAGGACATTGCCCAGTTTTGTAGGGATATGGCCAAGGCACAGCTGGAGGTGAACTTGGCAAGGGATGTGAAGAAAAACAAGAAGGGCTTCTACAGGTATGTAAACCAGAAAAGGAAAGTTAAAGCGTACCCCCCTGATGAGCAACGGTGGTGAACTAGTAACAACAGATGAGGAGAAGGCTGAGATTCTCAACAACTTTCTTGCCTCAGTCCTCACCAGTAACCTCTCTCACTGCTCTCAAGTTGATGGCCCACAAGATGGAGACCAAGGAGCCAAAGTCCCTCCCACCATAAGCAAAGTCAAGGTTTATGACCAGCTGAGGAACTTGAACATATACAAGTCCATGGGATCTGATGAGATGCACCCCAGAGTCCTGAAGGAATTGGTTGATGCAGTTGCCAAGCCACTCTTCATGATACTTGAAAAATTGTGGCAGTTGGGTGAAGTCCCTAGTGACTGGAAGAAAGGAAATATTACACCCATTTTTTAAAAGAGAGGAGGACTCAGGGGAACTACCGACCTGTCAGCCTTGCCTCTATGCATGGGAAGATCATGAAAGAGATCCTCCTAGGAGACATGCTAAGGCACATGAAGGACAGGGAGGTGATTCAGGACAGTCAGCCCAGCTTTACTAGGGGCAAATCCTGCCTGACCAATCCAGTGGCTTTCTGCAATGGAGTGACTGCATCAGTGGACAAGGGAAGACCTCAGGATGTCATCTCTCTGGACTTCTGCAAGGCCTTTCACATAGTCCCCCACAAAATCCTTCTCTCTATGTTGAAGAGATACGGGTTTGATGGGTGGATTGTTCAGTGGATAAGGAATTGGGTGGATGGTCACATGCAGAGGGTAGTGGCCAACGCCTCAGTGTCCAGATGGAAAATGGTGACAAGTGGTGTCCCACAGGAGTCCATACTGGGACCAGTGCTGTTTAGTATCTTCATTAATGACACAGACAGTGGGATCAAGTGCACCTTCAGCAAGTTTGCTGATGACACTGAGTTGGGTGGTATGGTAAATATGCTAGAGGGACAGGATGACATCCAGTGTCCTGCACCTGATCCAGGACAGCCAGAGATATGAGTACTGGCTGGGGGAAGACATGCTGGAGAGTAGCCCTGTGGAAAAAGAGCTGGGGGGCTAGTGGATCAAAAGGTGGACATGAGACACTAATGTGCAGTTGCAGCCCAGAAGTCCAACTGCATCCTGGGCTGCATCAAAAGAAGTGTGGCCAGCAGATTGAGAGAGGTGATTCTGCCCCGATGAGACCTCACCTGGAGTACTGCGTCCAGCTCTAGAGCCCTCAACACAAGAAAGATGTAAACCTGTTGGACTGTGTCCAGAGGAGGGCTGCAAAAAGAATCACAGGGCTGGAGCAACTCCCTAATGAGGACAGGCTGAGGGAGTTAGAGTTCTTCAGCCTGAAGAAGAGAAGACTGGGGGGACCTTATAGCAACCTTCCAATACCTAAAATGGGGCTATAAGAAGGGTGGGGAAGACCTGTTCACAAGAGCATGTAACGACAGGACAAGGGGTAATGGTTTTAAGCTAGAAAAGTTATTTAATGTGAAGGTGGTGGATCAGTTGAACAGGTTCCCTAAAGAGGTGGTGGAGGCCCTATCCCCGGAGACATTCAAGTTCAGGCTTGATGGGGCTCTGAGCAACCTGATCTAAATGTCCCTGCTTATTGTAGGGAGGTGGACCAGATGACCTTTAGAGGTCCCTTCCAACCAAATATGTTCTACAATTGTATGATTCTATTAGAAATAGCTGTGTGGATTTGGAAGTAGACCTGTTGTATTTAATGTAGACTCTTGTAGGCTGGCAGGAAGAAGGATCTTTTGTTTCCTGCTGGATCAGATCCAGAAGATCTGGAAACGGAAGTTCATCTCTTGTTTAATTCCTTCTTTGAAAGGGAATAATAGTATAATAATGGTAGGGAATGGTTTGTAATGTAACTTTTTATAAAACACATTACGGATGTATGGCATTTTAAAATAAAAAGGAAGAACTAAACAACAAACTAAAAGAAAACAGCAAACTGAAATACAGCTAGAAGGGAAAGATAGACACTCTGAAATGTTTAAAAGGTTGTGTAGAAAAACTGTTAACTTAATTTCAAACACTCTGTCTTTAAATTCCTTGTTTTAGTGGGAGTTCACTGTGGAATGGGGCTTTGTGTAGAATGATGCTAGTAGTATAAGAGAAGTTACAGTGTGATGTGTTTCAGTTAGCTCTCCAGATTTTAAAGTGTCCTGATCAATAGCTGCCTCTCTAACATGTTTACCCCTCACAATGTTGTTATGTCTTGAAGTGCACTCTCATGTGCGTGAGAGAACTGTCAGGTTTTCTGCCTTTGTTGGCAGTCAGAGAGGAGGCATTGTCAGGTAGCTGCTTAGTCTGTCACTGTGAGGAAGGGCATCATTACTGTCTCTTGTTCTGTTCTACTCTTTGCCTAAATGAAAGCTTTTGTAGTATCTGCTTCTTTTAAAATAATATGCTGGTGTTACTATACTAATACACTGTTTTTGAACTTGTGGGTTTATAGTTAATATACTGTCTGCAAAATAAGATGGCACTTCCTCTTTGACTCTGTTTTCTGTTTTCTTTTGGTTGTAGGGCATTGAGGGAGAAATCAAGGATGGGGTCACAGAAGGAGGACAACTTAATCAACAAGTCCATAGGAATCCTACCTATCGTCCCCGCTATCGCAGGTTTGTACTATTTCCTTTGCTTATCATTACATTTGGATGTTTGTGTGATCTACAGAGGCTTCGTTAAGAGCAGAAAGCTGTATTCCCTAGCATTAATGTGTGTGCAAATGGAAGGGACAGTGAGAAGTGTTTCAAATACTAGGAGAAAGGTGAGCCGCAGGACTAAGGAAACAACTGTAGAAGTTGTTTAATGTGCTTCAGTTGAGCAGTATCCTGAAGTAAGCTGAGGGTCCCACTGCCCAAGGCCCTCCAGGTGACTGATGCACAGGTTGGGGGGTGAGCTGTGGGAGTGTGGTGGAGGTCCCATCTCCGTTCCATGCTCCCTGTGCTCCAGGCCACACAGCCTGGCATGCTGGCTCATGTCCAGCCAGCTGTCAACCAGCACTCCCAGGTCCTTTTCTGCTGGGCAGCTTTCCAGCTGCTCTGCCCCAAGCCTGTAGCATGGCATGGAGCTGTTGTGACCCAACTTCAGGACCCAGCACTTGGCCTTATTAAACATAAGGTTGGTTCTTCTCCTGCCTGGTCTTTCCCTGCTTATCCCTTAATGACCTCTCTACAGTGATACACAGGGGGGCAAGAGTTCCCTGACAAGTAGACTGGGGGCTGTAGCCCCTGTGGACATGAGTGAAGGGGGCCCAGGGGGCGTGAGGATATTTGTTTCTATAGGAATTGTCCTCACTGTCTCCATCCCTGTGACACACAGCCCTAGTTCTTTGCTGCTTGATGGGATGATGCCACCTCCTTGCTGTCTGGAATGGGAGGAGGGGGCTTGTGTCTGTGTGGCTTCTGTTTGGGGGGTTCCTTCTGCCTGCCCTGTGGGGTAGGGCACTGGGTGGGCAGCAAGGTGTGCCATGGGCAGTGGCCCCCCACTCTTGTACCCTTTACATGCCAAAATACACAAGGGATACAATAAAAGTCAAAATGTCCTCCTGGTTTGTCCAGCCATCTGAACTCCTATGCTTTCCTCAATAAGTAATGACTCCAAATCCCACTTATTCTGGGACAGCTAGATCCACCATCTGGAGAGGTAGGCTTCTTCATAATTTTTCATTGGGACAGTAGTTGGTAGCTAAGCACTGGACTATTAACTTGTGTGCATCCAGCTCAGTCCTGTGTGTCTCTCAGGCTTGGTTCTATGCACTGGTGTTACTTGAAGGTGCAGAGGAAAGCCTACTGCTCAGTAAAAACTGATTATACTATGAGGAGCCCTCACACAAAGAGGTGGGAGACTTGCTGAAAAACAAAGGGAGGTTCACAGAATCATAGAACAGCCCAGGTTGGAAGTGACCTCCTCTTCATGGGAAGAACTTTTAATGGGAAATGAGGGTATAGAATGTACCCTCAGCAAGTTTGCTGATGACACTAAGCTGGGAGGAGTGGCTGACACACCAGAAGGCTGTGCTGCCATTCAGAGAGACTTAGGTTGGAGAATTGATTGGGCGGGGAGAAACATGATGAAATTCAACAAGGGGAAGTGCAGAGTTTTACATTTGGGGAAGAACAACACCATGTCCCAGTACAGGTTGGGGGCTGAACTGCTGGAGAGTAGTGTAGGTGAAAGAGACCTGGGGGTCCTGGTAGACAGGAGGATGACCATGAGCCAGCAATGTGCCCTTGTGGCCAAGAAGGCCAATGGCATCCTGGGGTGCATTAGAAAGGGTGTGGTTAGTAGGTCAAGAGAGGTTCTCCTCCCCCTCTATTCTGCATTGGTGAGGCCACATCTGGAGTATTGTGTCCAGTTCTGGGCCCCTCAGTTCAAAAAGGACAGGGAACTGCTCGAAAGAGTCCAGCGCAGAGCTACGAAGATGATTAGGGGAGTGGAACATCTCCCTTATGAGGAAAGGCTGAGGGAGCTGGGTCTCTTTAGCTTGGAGAAAAGGAGACTGAGGGGTGACCTCATCAATGTTTACAAATATGTAAGGGGTGAGTGTCAGGGAGATGGAGTTAGGCTTTTCTCAGTGATGACCAGTGATAGGACAAGGGGTAATGGGTGTAAATTGGAGCATAGGAGGTTCAAGGTGAATATCCGAAAAAATTTTTTTACTGTAAGAGTGACAGAGCACTGGAACAGACTGCCCAGGGAGGTTGTGGAGTCTCCCTCACTGGAGACATTCAAAACCCACCTGGATGAGTTCCTGTGTGATGTACTCTAGGTGACCCTGCTCTGGCAGGGGGGTTGGACTAGATGATCTCTCGAGGTCCCTTCCAGCCCCTAAGATTCTATGATTCTATGATTCTATGATTCTATGAAAGGGAACCTAGGTGAGATTATCTAGCACCCTGTCTAGTCACATCTTGAAAACATTCAGTGATGAGGACTCTACCACAGTCATGGGGAAGTTATTCCATTAAATGATTGTTCTCACTGTAAATCTTATATATTTTAAAAAAAAATATCTGATGCAACTCATACTTGTTGACCCTTGTCTTCTCAGTGTGGCTCCTTGTGAAGAGAGAACCTTTGCCCTCTTTGTAGCTGTCCTTTAAGTAGTGGAATACTGTGAGTTTGCCTCTAGGATTTCTCTTCTCCAGGAAGCAAAGACCTAACTCCCTCTGTTTCTCCTCATGGGATAGGTTCTCTAACCCCTTGATCATCATGGACCTCTAGACTGTATACAGTCTGCCTGCCTCACTCTTGTATTCTGGGGACCAGAACTGGTGATAGGACTCCATGTGCAGCCTAATAAGGGCATGTTCATTTATCTCTCTCTGCTAGTAATGCCTCTGTGGGTACAGCCCAGGATGCAGTTTGCCTTTATTGCAAGTGATGCACTGCTGACTCACATCCAGGTTGCTGACTTGACTGGTTGTTAATCATACAGCAGATTGTTGGAGCTTTTTGCCACGGGTGTTAGTGATGATAAAAGCTTGTATGAGCTTAGAGAGACTGTCAGATAGGTAGAGATCACCATTGTGATACCTATAAACAATGTTTGCCTATCAGGCTTGGGAAATCCCTAGTGTGGAAAGTAATTGGAGGCCGGGAGGCTATTTGGGGAGTAGGTTTCATTGTCCTTACTTTTCCCTAGGGGTCCACAGAACTGGGATAAGTGGACCCTCATTCTTAGGCTCTTAGTAAAGGGATCTTGGAGTTCACATGAACGCTGATGCTTTCCAGTGAGCTATGTGGAGTAAGTTGCTGAGTCATCTGTATTAGTCATCCCTTAAAGTGGCCAGTGTAGGATTGTTTTCTTAATTTCCCAATCATAGTTCTGACATCACTCCAGCTTCCAGTCTCTACACTGATGGAACAATGATATAGCTCAAGAATTCGGTGCAGTTAAAAATATCTGTGTGAAATACTCAACCTCTTATTGTCATATATTTTGAGATGTTGCCTCACTGTTTTGTTTTTTTTAAATTGAATTCCTTTAAGTGGAAAAGCTAATTCAGATTCTTGACTTGTGACTTGTTTTATCTTGGAGAATGTGTGGCAGGTTAAATAAAACACTGGATTACTTTTCACTAGTGTTCTTCATAAAGCATTTTGGATTCTGCTCTCAAGGACTTGAATTGTAAACCCAATGTTCACTCACTTGCTCCTCTTCTTGTCCTTGTATCAACTAGCTTATGAGGTCAAGCTCCAACATTATTTAGAAAGGTGAACTATAAAATGGATGTAATTCCTACTTTTTTACATGTGTGCATGTTCAAAAACAAACAACAAGAGGTTATTTAGCACAAGAGCAACAAGAAGCTGGATTTCACAGGAATCACAGGATTGTCCTTAGTTGTAATGGGTACCTGCTCCATGCAAAATAAACTGCTTTCTGGATGCTATATTTAGAATCATGAGCCTTCCACCTCTACTCTCTGCTTTTTTATTAATGAGTATTTGTGTTTAACATTGGCTCTGTTATCCAGGACTGTGGAAACTGGGGTAATACTGATGATCCTGCTTCTGAGGATCTGAGATGAATAGATTTTATCCCTGAAAGTCTTCATTAGCATTAGGCAGTCAGGAATAGCAACCACACCAAGTACAGTGAGGCACCTGAGCCACTGCATGCCATATGGGTGAATCAGAAGCTGGATAATTTGCCCATAGCTAATGGAAATTTATGCATTTCTGATACATTTTTCCTGTAAAAGCAGTATAATGTAAATGCAGAATGCTTCTGTCAACAGGTAAGTATTGCTTGCTTTTACATGCACTAGTGCTTTAATGTTAGATTCCTTTGGAAAAACTGAATTGGCTTTTGGGGCTAGATACTTGTGACTTGGTCATCACTTTTGGCTGTGTTTTGACAATTCATAAACATACTTTATACTGGAAACATTAAATGCTCTTTCATACTTCTGGAACATGGGCTTGATAGCTTTTAGAATCATAGGATATCTCAAGTTGGAAGGGACCCATAAGGATTATTGAGTCCAACTCTCTGCTCCTGCTCCTCACAGGACTGCCTAAAACTAGACCATATGACTAAGAGCACTGTCCAGATGCTCCTTGAACTCTTGACAGGCTTGGTGCTGTGACCACTTCCTTGGAGAGCGTATTCCAGTGACTGACTACCTTCTCAGTGCAGAACCTTTTCCTGATGTCCAATCTCACTTCCCCTAAGTCTGCTTGAGTCCATTCTCTCATTGCTGGTCACCAGAGAGAGATCAGCATTCCTCCTCCACTGCCCACCTTGAGGAAGCTGTAGACTGTAGCATGGATTCACACATTTGAGGTGTAACCATATATTGCAGTTCCAAGCCAAAAGCTTCCATCATCAGTTGAATAACCAATCTTGGAGATGTCCCTGTGTCGTTAACATGTTAGCATTAATTAGGTCCAGCTTGGCTGACTGAAATACGTGCTCAGGAGGGACAACATAAGTAAAAAAGGGGATATCCAGAAGTGGTTCACAGGTGGAATTGCAATTCCCAGGGAGCACATGATTAATAGGGTGGGACTGGTATATAGCTAGTTCAAGGCTAACTTGGCAAAGTCAGTGTTACCACTACTGTTTGTTTGTTCTAGCCAGCAATTCAGATGGGCTAACTACCTCCTTCTTTTAGGGCAGACAGTAGAATATGCTGCTGTAGCTTCAGCAGTGAAGAGACATCCAGGTTGCTTGCCTAATCCAATGAAATGGGTCTTTCCCTTCCAACTATATTGGAGCTGAACTCCAAAGAGATGGCTTGGCAGCATTCAAAATACAGATAGTACTTGGTTAAAGAGGGTTTTTTCTGGGCTAAAACTGTAGTTGTTTAACCTTCTTGAGATTCTGTCCTGCTTAACACACATTTCTTCCCTTCAGAGGGCCCCCGCGCCCGCGCCCTGCCCCAGTGGCTGGAGAGGCTGAAAACAAGGAGAACCATCATGAGGCAAATGCCATGAGTCAGCAGTCGCTGCGGCGGGGCTATAGGCGCCCATACAACTACCGGCGTCGGCCTCGTCCACCCAATGCTCCAGCTCAGGATGGGAAAGAGGTAAGCAGGCTCCTTGCACACTGTGGCAGAGAGAGGGCTTTTCCACAGGGCAAATGCTTAAGACATTCTGTCCTGTGGGAGTTTTAACAGCAGTGGTGTTGGTGTGCTGGGGGAGTCTGATGGCCAAGTCCAAAATGCTGATGGTGGAAGGTAGCTGGCTTCATTGTTCCTTGTGGGACTTCTTTAAGAATGAGCAGCTTATCTTAAATGGAACCAGCAGTGGGATAGGGACTGCTCCCAGATGGTTCTTAATTGGGGTCAGACTGTAAGTAATGTTTTTGAAGTGGAGAGAAATTGTCTTTTCCAGCTTCCTCAAACCTTCTGTCTTTATTGGAGTATAAGAGATGATTTGGAAAGCTCCAGATCCATTTCTTGAACTGCTTGAGCGGGATGATTTCAGGAAACTTTTTGTAAACACAGATTTTACCTTAATGAGAAAGGACTTTCTCATTCTTTATCTGCTTGAGGTTGTCCCCTGACAGAATCTGATGTGTAATGCTTAAACTTAAGTGTATTTCCTGTAGAGAGTATCCGAGGATTAATCTTACTTGATAATTTTGACCTGTGTTATGCTGGCCTACCACTGAACAGAGGAAGGGTCTAGAGGACAGCGTTTGCTTATAATAAAGGTTTATTGTGTCTCAGACAAAGGTGACTGAAACACCTGCTGAAACTCCTGCTCCAGTGACCGAGCAGAGTGGTGCGGAGTAATGTCCGGCTCCCCAGGCACCTTTAACCATCCTTCAGGTAAGGAATAGAGAGAGTTCCTGTTCTCAAGCTGAAGCAGTGTATACTTCTAGGACTTTGACTCTGGCCATGTTCCCTTATGTATGGCTAGGTATTTGTGGTAATTTCTGAATGCTGTATAGCCAAACTAAGGAACTGCTTGCTGCTGCTTCTTTCTCTCCTCTGTGTCTGTATTTGTCACAAAGTAAATTTTGATATATTAATCTGATTTTTCAGGAAGATCTGTCTGTTTTATATAGCAATAGCATCTGTTGATGAGTTAGTAATGTTTTGCTTTAGGAAACTACTGTACTCTCAGCTTCCAGACAGGATAAGCCCATCGTGCTTATTCTGTCTGTCATAACTCCCTTTCCACCTCACATCCTGCCTCTTCAACAGGAAAGTGAAACTTAAACTGCATTTTTTTATATTTGCCACTTTAACAGGTGTCCTAAAATACAACTCAAAAGTAACACCAAAGAAACATTCAAGCAATAAATTGTCAACAATGATGATGAGAACAAAGATTTGAAACATCAGAACTTAAAAAATAAATTTACCAGCTGCTGAGATCCAGGGAACGCCTGCAAGATGGATACATGAAAAGAGAAAAAGAGCAAGATTCAGAAAGAGCAACCTCCCCAGTTTCAAAAGCAACTGTGGCGTTATTTTTTTTTTTTCCCTTAATTTCACTATTTCCTAGTATTGGATCTTTCAATTTTTCTTTTGGTATCAAACTGAAAAGGGAAAAAAGCCCAACCAAAGAGCTGAAATTGAAATAAATTTTTTTTTTATTGGATGTTGGTGCTAAACCTCCCAGGTGTGATGAGTTTTTTCTGTGCCAGTCCTGTTCACTGCAGGACAAGGGGAGGAGAAAATTCTACTTTCCTTGGTAAGATCTATTTGAACCTGTGCAGCATGGGTGACGTTCCTCACAAATAAAACTTATTTCAACTGCCAAAAAAGTTCCGTCTTAATGTCTGTTCTTATTTACCTTTAAAATAATTCATTTTGCTTCTTCAGTGTTTATATGTGAAAACAAGAGCTGCCTCTCTAGTATGTGGTGGATGTGTCTAACCATGCTTGATGGTACATGTGCAAGGACATGGCTAGGTTAGGTGGATCTACTTCAATCTAAAACAACTTCTGCAAAGAGATTACACAACAGAGCCATAGCCTACACTGCGCTTTCTGCTTTTTTGGCTCAAATGTTGTAAATGGTTGCGTTTTTCTGGTATCATATTGTGGCAGGAGTTTGGGGGATTTGGTCTGGGTTGTGGGGTATTATTTTCCCCAATCTGTTTGCTGGGCTTTTGTATTCTGAAAACAGTAGAGTCTGAGATTTGAGATTCCTCTGCTGGAAAATAAGTGGGTTTAGTAGCTGCTGCTTTATTCAAGCTTCTGTTCCAAATAATGGCAGTGTATTTTATTAGCCTCTCCACTTTTCCTTACTTCAAAACAGTAAAATCTTTGTACCTCTTCCATCTTGTGTTAATCAGCAAATTATTTAACTGCCTTACTAATGTGTTTCTATTTCTAATGTTCCTCCCTAAAATTTGGATGTCTTGCAAGTGTTAACACTCTGCTTCTAGCTGTTGAAATGGGTGTTGAATATTTCTTCACCTATCTTGTGGCCCTCATTCTGTAGTCCAACATTTCTCATGTTCCTCTCTTGCAGTTGCTGTTACCCAAGCCATAGGTAGTATATTTGCTTCATTAAAGCACATCTCTCTGTTCTTATGATGCAGTCTTTACCAAGCCTTGACTGAATATGACTTTGTATCAACCAGCTTGGTCTGGAGCAACACTAATTGCACACATGTAGGATTAAATGAGAGTAGAGAGATTCTTAGCAGATACATTGTCCTTGTCTCCTGTAGTTTCCATGTTCTTGCATGCTATTAATAAGTAAAAATCATGAGGTTCTCTGGAAGCATATTTTCTCACATTACTTTTGAGGAAATGAGAAGTAGGGGGAGCATAGGGGATAACTAATAGTGCTCCAAAGCACTTTGCTTCCAGCTTCTGGGGAGGTGAGAATTGGCCCTTGCACCCTGTTTGTTGCTTTTGCCTTTAGAGGGCAGGGACAGGTTTAGTGATGCATGAGTTGTGCTGCCCACAGCTGACTGCATTGGGGATTGCCTGCTTGCTTTTGCAATAAATTAGGAACTCTTAATGAAATGTGAATTGAGAACTACAGTCTTGGTTGAGGAAGAAGAATGCTTCTGCATTCCCTGCAAGCTCGTGTACAGTAACATGCCATTGCATCACTAGATTGCTTACCCAGCAGTTCCAAAAGTATTAATTCAAGGATTTCTGTGATACTGAGTTTGGTAAGCTGTAGACTGTGAAAGACTGAAATGGATACAATGGTATTCTAATGTCTTCCATTGGAAAATGAAGAATATGGCTGTTTTGACACAGAACAAAATTTAATAAGGTGAGGAAAATGGAAGTAATGCACCTTTTGCAAATTCTTAAGCAGGGTAATCCTTAGTAGAATGTAGTTTTGTTCAGAACTAAACTTACTTCAGGCAGATTGGGGTGAAGTTGGCAGTTTCACTGTAATATAAACAGATGTGGGAGATTCATAAATACTGAAACATTACTGCAGAATTTGTCCTAAAAATACTTCAACTGCTTTCAGTTGTTCAAAAGCAAGTGATTTTTCTTAGTGTGATTTGACAGGCCAGGTTTGTTGTTTTTTTTTTTCTCAGCAGAAGTGAAGGTCAGATTTGAACCAGTTTAACAAATCACCAGTTATCTTTATTTTATGAAAAGAGAAATTGAGGAGAGATGCAAGTAGTGTCCTAGTCTAGTTTTTAAATGTTATTTCAGTCCTTTGTGTTAAGAAGAATCTTTGCATAAAACGGAAGCTTGTGACTCAGACAACCTCCCTAATCCCTGAATTTCTGCTTATGAAAAGAGGCTCAACTCTAGCAAGCCTAAAGTGCTTACTAAAGTTATGTTTTAGGTGTCTTAAGTTTTAGATGTCTTATTCCCTTACTCGTTTCCTTGTTAGCTGCAGAAACACAAAACTGGTGCTCCTTAATGAGGGTTAGTTCTCGTGGTGACTCTGATGCTTGTATGCTTGTAAATAAGGCTATGAGTTATTTGCCTCAAGCAAAACTTCAGATGAGTTTATGTTGTGTTTTATTTTCTTAAAAGATGCTTAGCCAGAAGGATTTTGAATTCGCAAAGTAGTTAACGTGCTTTCATACCTACTTGGTGCCATTGTTTTTGTGCTATGTTAATTCTCTTATTCCAGTCTTCTTCCCTTTCATAGGCACTTATAATGGCTTACCATTAGAGTGGATTACACTTTTATAGTCTAATCATTTAAGAGTGTTTTTGTATTACTCTGCCTGACAGTAACCGGGCTTTTTGCTTGTGAAGGTCTACTGTTACTTAGCCACAAAAATATTCTCTGTGGCTTGTGTTCCTTTGAGGAAGATGAAGAAGGAAAGAAGTTATGTAGGCCTTCATCTGTGCATTGTTTCATTTAAATGTAATAGTCTGGCAATGACAATATATTCACTGATTTAGAGAAATATGTATCCTGTAAACTTCTGCATTGACCAATCATGTATCCTTGTGCAGCCCTTCCCACCCACTTCTATGGGAGGACTGTGTACAGGTGTAACAAATGCCTGGGAAGTGAAACACGCTTTCTGCTGCTGTGGGAGAAACTGGATATAAAGCTTGTGCTATATAGAACTTGATTCCACAGCCCTTAGGGTGAGCTGTGTACATACATATGCATACATATTTGCTGCAAGGGCACATGCTTGAGAATTTGCCATAGAATACTAGGATGAACTTGCATGTGGCCTGGACAGCAAGAGTTGTAATGTTAGGTCAGCATAAAGGAGAGGAAGTTTTGGAGGCCACATTGAGCAAGTGGCAGCTTGAACTTTTCATTTTGTGCAGTTAACAATAGCCGAACAATGCAGCTGTGATTAGATTTTGAGTCTTAGATCTAGACAGTGATGTCCTGAGCAGAAAATTGATCCTCATGACTTAATACCACCAGCTGCTGAGATTAATAATTCTGATATCCTAAGGTTTTAAAATGTGATAAGAAAGACCTACAGAAGGTTGTCGCAGAGTTCAGAGTTTCATCATATTTCTTGATTGCTGTCAAAATGCATGGTTGGCTGTCAGTCTGGAGTTTTGACTTGAAAACTGACTTATAGGACCACATGTCCTTGGAATTAGTAAGGAACTGTTTTGACTGTATTTCTAGGCATGATTGGAAAGTATGTGTTTGTAGTACTCAAAGAGATCTGTTATCAAAAGATTTGGGGTGTGGGTTAAATGTGTGAAGATCCAACACAGTTTTAGCCATATGAGCAGCTTGTCAGCATAAAACTCAACTTTAGCTGTATCTCAAGCTGAGGTCAAACTTCTGCTGCTATAACATATTAGATAACAGCAGTTAGAGGGTAAGAATAAAAACATGCTTTGTACAGTGTACCTGTAATAGTCTTGTTTTGTTACCAGAGGCCTAAAAGGTCTAGCCCAATTATTTTCCCTTCCATAATACATTTTTGTCCGTGTGCTCTTAACAGTTTTTAATGGCCTCTAAATCTTGCCCTTCCTTGAAAATACGTGTCTCCTCAAAACTTTGTTACCTTATTGCGTACGTTTGTGTTCCAGTGATCCAAACCCCAGAGCACTTAGAGAAAATGAGGTAAGGTACACAATAGTTTAATGGAAACAGAAAAACAAGAAAATATCCTACTGTTTCCTTTGAAAAAATGTAAATGCATTTTACAGTGGTGCTGAAGCAAAGAGGTGGTGGTGCTAGTTAAAAAAAAACCCAACAGTATTAATAGAATGTATGCAGAAAAGGCCCTGCTGCTTTCATGCTGGTAATGCCTAGGTGATACTGTCCTTGCCCTGGAGGAAATGACTGACTCAGAAGGAATGTTGTTCACCTCCTTGGTTCTCAACAAGCTGTTGGCTCCTCTACAAAGAATGCCAGCAAAAAGAACATTAATACTAGTATGTGTAAATAGAGCTGTTGTAGATGCTGGACTAGAATTTTGAAGCTGTTTATGCCAACAAGTAAAACAGCTAGTATGGATTCTCTTTTTGAGCCTTCCTGAGGTAACCTGAACTGGGGCTGTAACAATCAGGAACTGGAAAGTGCTAGTATTAAATGAAATAAATATTTTAAACAAAGCTTTAGGCCGTGTTCTGACAAGAAATGAGATGTCTGAGTGGACTTGTGAAATGTCCACAGCACTTCCTCAGTTGTTTTACACTGGAGAGAAGGGCACACTTTTCAGCCATCGTTATATGGGGGGCTGCATGATTGGCCTTTTAGCTCAAGAGATGTCAACCCAGCAATCCAGATTATAGTGATAAATTATTGTGAGCACTATATGGGGCTGTTGCTCCACATACTTTTTGCTGAAAATTTGTGTTGCATACCCCTGTGACATGAAATCAAGGTGTTTCATTGTGAGCTACCTGGTTTCTGCTGCAAGTCTAAAACATCTAGCTGGGCTGAAATCTGGTTGTTGTGGTTTAAACCCAGCTGGCAACTACACCCCACACAGCCACTTCTTTCTCAGAAAGGTAAAAAGCGAGAAAACTCATGGGTTGAGATAAAAACAGTTTAATAAGTAAAACAAAAGCCACGTGCACAAGCAAAGCAAATAATGGAATTCACTGACTGCTTCCCATGGGCAGGCAGGTGTTCAGCCAGCTCCAGGAAAACAAGGCTCTATCATGTGTAGCAGTTATTTGGGAAGACAAATGCCATTACTCAAACCATCCTCCCTTTTCTTCTTCTTCCCTCAGCTTTCTATGCTTGGCATATTGTCATATTGTGTGAAATATCCCTTTGGTCATTTGGGGTCAGCTGTCTCAGCTGTGTCCCCCTCCTAGCTCCTTCTACACCCCCAGCCTACTTGCTGGTGAGGTGTTGAGAGAAGCAGACAAGGCCTTGACTCTG